CAAACTTCTCTTGTTTAAATCTTCAAGCTTGCTTGTATTGGCTGTGTGGAAGAATATGGCTGTGAGAGTTCTGGCACCGATAGTAAAGGCTCAGGGGATAACAGCTTTTGAGGTGGCAAATACTCCTGAGTGCTCAAACCAAGCTGGTAAAGCTCACCCTCCTCTCAGGACTGGGTGAAATGAAGGCAGAGGGAGTTGGAGTGTTCAGGTACTGGTGATTCCAGAGGGAGCCAGTGACATGGCCCAGGCTGAAACCAAAGGCTCTCAATCTGCTGTCAGAGAACAAACAGCATTTTCTCTGAACTCACAGTTTTTTCCCCAGGAAAAACATCATGTCTCAGCACTGTTCAGATGGTTTGCATATGCCATGGGCATGATACAGGCAATGAAGCTTTGTATTAATCTACTGTCCAGATTGGTAACTGTAAGGGGCATCTCCTAATGACCACAACATGATTAATCATGATACATGTGTGATACCCATGCTCATTATTACTGGCCTCCAGAACAGCACTGCTGAGCCCTGCCAATATGCTTGGGTTGGTATCTGGAAGAGACAATACTGCAATTACTGGCAAAGCATGCAGGAAAATTAAGAAGCAGCTAGTTCAGTATTCTGGCCAGGCTAGTGATCAGGAGCAGAGTAAAGCAGAGGAATGTAAGAGCTGCAAGGACTAACATTTATTATCCTCATCTGATACTTTATTTTAAATAGATCTCTGGATGTGCTCATTTATTTTGGACCATTGTCTTGCAAAATGGAAGGAATGTAAAGGGCACTGGCATGAAGAACACAACTCTTGCATAAGAGCTGATGAAGCCTATTTGGAAACAGAGCTACATCCATACTTTATATCAATGTATGGTATTGTTGCCCACTTGTAAAACAGGGAGAAATTCTCTTTGTTTTGCTATTGTACATATTAGATTTCACATCAAATACACCTTGTATGTCTTATGTGATAATCCAAGGACCCACATGCAACTAAACAACACAAATGTACCTGAGCATCAGTCCTCAGAAAGTCCAGGAAAAGTGGAATTAGAGCTGTTTCTAGCCATGTAGATTATCACAAACATGACAACCCTATCTTCCACTTCACACAGAAAGCTGAACTGAGTCAAAGACTTCAACTTTTTCCTTCAAAGATCAGGCAAATTAATGGAAGAAAAATCTACTTATGTCTATTAAACACTGAGGTAGATCTTTGATTCAGAAGATCTCTGAACCCTGCCATTTTAGCTCAGGGCCAGGAGAGTGCTGTGGAAACCTTTCCTCCCCTCCCTGCATTTGCCCTGGCTGGGCAGCAGTGGGTGCCTGTCACAGGCAGCACAGCAGGTTGTGAGACATTTAGATGAACGTCCCTGTCTGTGAGTGCTGGGCTGGCTCTGTTTTCACCTTCAGCTAAGACTTGTAAACACCCCCCAAAGACAAAGTCTGTTAGGGTGACTCTACAATGCAGGGATAGCAAAGGAGGGCAAGAACCAACTCTCCAAGTGAACAAAAGCTTGTACTGATGAGGGATCATATTTGGATAGGAATCCATGTTGTATACTAAATTAAGTGAATTAAACACAGGAACCTTCTGATGAATCTTTTAACTTCAAGCATATGCACTGAAGCCCAATAGCCCCTCAGCACCATGCTCAGACTGTGATAACCAGCTTGGCATGCAGCCTTAAGGATAACTGAAGGCAGAACCATTTGAGCAACAAAGAAGAGTATAGGAAGCAATAGCAATAATGCATATCTTTCCTTACACATCAAATAGAGGTAAAAACAATATAAATAGTGGCAGCCAATGAGAAATAGATTTTTTCAGTCCTATGCACGCTAATTCAAACTAATAAAACAGTATTTGAAAAGTGACAAGACCTACAAGCAAAGTAGAGCCAGGGAGTACCTCTGTAGCGTGCTAAGTAATTTTAAGTGTTATTTAAAGGGAAAGGAAGTAACCCCTAATCTGCTTATCCAGTGACACACAAGTGTAGATGTAAGCATGCTGAAGCTACAGAGATCCCTGGAGTTATGACAGTAAGGAGGGGACATATTATGTCCTGAAAGATCATAACATTCAATAATGCTTTATTTTAACCATATTAAGGGGTGGAAATTGATTACAACAGGTGAAAGGAAGTTTAGTGACTGCTAGACTAATGAAAATGTTGCTTTTATAAAAATTTGAATTTCCCAGTGCTCTTCTGGGCATTGCTATTTGTTGCAGATGAGCAGAGCACAAATAAAGTGACTGAGCTGTGTGTGGATAGGTTTGTCTGCTCACTACAAGTTTGCTGCTGGATTAGGTTCATTATTTGAATTTCCAGGTCTTCGACAGTACTGTGTTCATAATGTGTGAAAGCAAACTTAACTGGTTCAATAGGGAAAAACCTCTTTATACCACTGACTTCCATGAACAAAAAGAGGCTTGCAATGCATTTATTAAGATATTACACAAGTAGAACAAAATTCCCCTGGTCTTTACTAAGCTTTGGATCAGGTGCCTGTTAAAAAAAAAAAAAAGCCAGCTTATCACACAAATGCAATATTTAATCTCCAGATATTCTGCTTCAACCAGTGTAATTGAGTTCAATAGCTCCATGTTTATTTTATGGCCTATGCCTAGACATTATCATAACGAAAAACATGGGGGAAATGTCATACATACTCCCACACACCTATGCAAATGGAATTGTAATGGCTCTCTGTATTTCACAGTAGACCTTTTATGAGGATCACCATGCCTATTCTGTCTAAAATAAAATCTGTTATGTAAAAATGTTTGAAACAGAACTTTGTTTTATTTAGCATTAAACAAACATGTCCAGCCAGGACTCTTGATACTCCTTTGCCTATGCATACACACCCATGGATGTGTTTGTCTGTATCACACAGCAAAGCTTACCTGCTAAGCACAGCCTATACTTCAGCCACGTGAAAAACGTTCTCACTGATCAGCATCCACTTGTTGCATCTCCCCTCAAAGGATTGAATCTCACTTAAATGTACTGTTTCCTGAGCTCAACAGGCCTTTGCACAGCACTGCAAATCCATGGAGGAAGTGAACTCAATCCACCCTCTCTCTGTATCTGCATGAAGCCTTCCACAATGGGGCTGTGACTTATTTGGGGCCCCTGGGTATGACTGCCATACAAGTAGTAACTAATGACAACAGACCACTGGGATGCACTGGCTGTAAGGAAAAATAAAACCCGGTCCATAAAAAGCAGATTCCATGTCCACTTGTACGTAGAAATATAGTTGAAATGATAGGGCTTGATGAAAATCTTTGGGGCACCTCATCTGTTTCAATCTGGCTTTCCAGACAACAGCAATATAAATAAATGATGCTGTGATTTGTGGAAAAATGACCAAGATTTAAGATTTTCACTAAAGAAAACTCATTGAAATATACCTATGAACTTCAGTCTTCTTTTTCCTTTCCTTTCCTTTCCTTTCCTTTCCTTTCCTTTCCTTTCCTT